TAAGTCGCTAACTCAAGAACCAGAAAAGCTAGAAAGCTGAAATTTTAACAGACGAAGAATAGCTGGAGAATCACGTTATAAATTACCGCTGGTCCAAGCATTCCAAGTACATTATTCGAATTTTCTCGCGACATTTCGCAAAAGGCATGTAGTTTACCGATTCATAAAGATAATTCTTGAAAAGACAGTTCAAGTTGCAACGAAATTACCTCAACAGAGCGCGTGCCATGCAGAATAGCTGACGCTCCCCAACCGATATATTGCGGCCACCTTCACTTATCGGAGATTCCAACTTTTGGTCCAGTGAAGACACCTAAAAATATCCACAGGTGAAATAACCCCAAATTTCTCGACGACAAGGCTGTTTTCGCAACGAGAATTCACAAAAGTCCAGACTAAAATTTATATTTAACCCCTAAGATATCCAAAATGTCAATAATCAGATGCAAAAAGCAGTACAAGGGGGAAAAAAGAATGGTTTTTACAAAAAATTCAGATAAAATCTCTAACAGCAAAACTCTTGCATAACTTACCATGTCTTTAAGATATGTCTTTTCAAGTGCCATCCAAATTTGATCGTCGCTAAATTCATTATTCGGGTCAACATTGAAGCGAATGGTCCCGGCAAAGAGGGTCGGATCTTGCGGTATAACAGCCATCGCTCGGCGCAGTCGATGCAGCTCAACGTAAGATGTATCAACGCCATCAATCTCAATGCTGCCCCAGGTTAGCGGATATAAACGATAAAGCACATTACACAGCGACGTTTTTCCTGAAACAAGTAGAAAGTATTTAAGCAAAAAAGGCGGCTACTCTGCTGCCATAGGAGGAGAAAAATAAGTTATTACCTGATCCGGTACGCCCAACAACGCCCACTTTTTGTTTTGGTTCAATCCTGAAACTGATATCATCCAACGCCAGTGGTAGATCAGGCCGATAGCGTATCCTGAAATAAGACCCTGTATCGCATGCGCACAATCATGGCAATATCCAGTCCTCTGATCCAGTGATTTTTTCACGATTAAGCTTATTAGTACTGGGTAATTATGATTGCGGAAAAAATCAACTAGGAACACAATCATGTCATGGCAATATCCAATCCTCTGATCCAGTGATTTTTCCACGATTAAGCTTATTAGTACTGGGAAATCATGATTGCAAAAAAAATCAACTAGGAACACAATCATGGCATGGCAATATCCGATTCTCTGATCCAGTGATTTTTTTCACGATTAAGCTTATAGTACTGGAAAATCATGATTGCGAAAAAAAAAATCAACTAAAAATAACTCATAATTTAATATGATGGAGGGAAAGGGCCGTAGAAGCCCAACCTAGAACTAATCATTAAAAATAGGAATACTCGTGTTGAGCTGGACGACTTTTATAAAGGAAACCGCTGAATCGTAAAGAGCAGGGTAAAATTTGCCGGCCAAAAACTTCTTAACAAGTCGCAGAAATCTGGAATAATTAAACTAGCGGAAGGGAATGACGGTATGGTGAACAGGCCAAACCGGGTGAAGGTGTAAAACAGTAGCTAAAGGGCTTTGAACGGACGAAGGAAAAGGTTGGAAAAACCGGCCGATACAAGCCGGGGCCAAGGATGGGGCGGTCAGAATCAGAGATGTTTAAGTTTTATCGAGATTCCTAAATTTAAGTTTAATCGAGATTCCCAAATTTAAGTTTTATCAAGATTCCCAAATTTAAGTTTTATCGAGATTCCCAAAAGCATGAGAATCCATTTCTGCAAATCTTCAACTGAAACTCGTTTTCTCGATGATTTACTTGCCTCACATCTCAGATGGCTAATGCAGCCACTGGCCAGTAATGTGAGGTCTGTTGGCAGCAAAATGTGCTGGATGATGAGCCCGATCATATTTTACTTTCTTCAGTGATTTCAAAAACATCCTTTCAGTTATTAGAAGGGATTTTAACGAATTTTACACAGCTATTAGTCCAAACGAACAATAACACTAGCTGTAGTGCATCCACTGTGCAGAAATCCTATTATAATTCTCATCGCACATAAAAATAATTGGCCAACACACGGGCTGCCCGTGCGAAGATACGTTTTTTGCATAGTTCCCCGCAGTTTTTGTTGCTACCGGCACCGGCCTTTTTGGCAGATGCTTTTATCTAAACAAGTTAAAACTGGCCGCCAGAACTGTCAGAAAATACCCCCTTAAAATTTCAGCTTTCTAGCTTTCCTGGCTCCTAAGTTAGCAACTTATTGGAAAAAAACTTTTACGGGCCCGTGCATGTTTACCACGCATACTCGAGAGCTAGGTTTGAGCTGAATGAAAGTTGGGTGGACGGGATATATCCTCTTCAAACTACAGTCCCTCAGCTTCTCAGGTACTCGAGTTATCAACTTACACGAAAAAAATTTTGGTGGGTCCGTAAGTGGGTACCACGCTCACCCGGAATCTGGGTTTGAGCTGACTAATACCCACTTGGACGTGGAACATCACCCTAAGATCTCAGCTTTCTAACTTCTCAAATCCCCGAGTTAAGAACTTACCCGGAAAAAATTTTGGCGGGCCCGTACGAGGGTACCACTTTTACTGGGGGCTGGGCTTGAGCTCACTAATACTTGGACCGGGAACATCACCCTAGGATTTCAGCTTTCTAGCTTCTCAGATCCCTGAGTTATGAACTTATCCGGAAAAAATTTTGGCGGGCCAGCACGCGGGTACCACGCGGGTAATGGCGTTCGTTTTGGCGACTGGGGTCCGTACATGCACGTAGATTATGTTACCAAAATTTCAGTCCTGTAGCTTTTGTAGAACTTGAGATGAAATACCGTGATAGACGCACACACAGACAACTCCTCGTCAATATGCTTTTTCTGCACTGCATAGCTGCAAAAAACGCATAAAAAGCTGTATTTTTAACTGAAAAGAAAACATAAAAACCTACTTCACTTCTTTGAAGGCCACCGATCCTTCAGCTGGCCAATCATTCGCCAGAGAAAAGCCTGTTTTCTTTCTAGCCGAGTCACGTTCTGGCTCAATATGCTGAAAAAAAAAACCATATGTAATACAGTAGAATAAAAGGCAAGAAAGCGCTTGCAGGATTGGGTCCATGCTAAGCAGGTACTGGCGCCTCTGCAGTCTAATTTTCGGTCAGATTTAATTGTCGGAAACAGCATCATTATTTTAGCATCAGAGATATTATTGTAATAGAAAGGTATATTAACAACGGATGAAATAAGGAGAACCAAAAAGGAAGGTAGGAGATGAGAATTACAAAAATTTGTAAATTAATAGACTAAGCTTAATCAAGTCACACAAGGTTTTTATTCCGATTTAACTTATTCACATTCCTTTTAATTTCCTTACTTTCATACCCTTATTTTTTACATAAACACACATCATCTAAAATTAAAATTACAACAAAGCATACAATATAATTTAAAGCCAGACTTCAATATAATTTAAGATTCTTTTATGCTGCTCAAAAAATTATTTCTTAACACTTTACATCGAAAACTTTAGCAAAAAATCCGTAACTCATAGTCGGTAGTGAATCTCACTTTTTCTAACAGTAGAAATTTTGAGGGCGAAATTTGCTTCTCAACTTACACCAAAGGCATCTCGAAACGGCCAAGGCTCTGCCAAGTTCTTCAGTTACAAGAATAACTAAGCTGATAATTCATTTAGAAGGCGAAGTGAACGTCAGATTTGCTAGGCTTTTCATGGTATAGCATTTCTCAAATCGAAAATCTAGCGATAAATTTCAGTTGTTCCAATAAATATTCCAAGTGCAATATTCAAAGAAACGCATGGAAACCGAAAAAATATCTTGAAGCTATGAAGAAAATTGGAAACTAACATCACTATAGTAGGTTATACGTTCCACGGATGTCATTTTCACTTCCAGTTCGGTCTGTGTACGTACAGCGAATTGGAATATACCACTCATCTAAAAATCACGATTTTTAGATTATCATAATCAAACAACAATATAAAATTTCACCAAAAAAACCAAAAAAAAATATCATTATTATCACTTGTAAGATATCGTATACCGAAAAGAAGATGAACTAGTCATGTGACAAGAATCACTGATAAGAGAAGGTCAAAACAAAGAAGCAGCGATGGATTATACTCAAAATTCGTTCTTTTTTTCAGTCAGCAAACCCAGCTGTGTGGAGTGCCGTGGATGTGGAAAGTACGAGATCGAGATTTATAAAGAATTGCCAGTTGCACAGATGGAAACTCAGACAATGAAATAACAGTTATCCCAAGTTCCAGGCACAAATATGCAAGGTAGCCTACCATAAACGATACAAGCACTGGTTTAGCAGTGGACAGAAATGGATAGCCAGAAGAACAAGGGCAATTTTTAAGACAGCAGCGGACGTGAAAGATCAAAATCATGCAGAGTTTTGTGATTTTCTCAAACTTTTAACAAAAAAACTTTTGCCGAATTATTTTTTTGGGCTTCATTCTTTTTTTTTTTTTTCATTGTGATAATTACTTTCAGAAAAAATACGATGCAAAAAAAAACCAACTGTGTAAAAATACTGCACACAATTCCTAAAAAAGCTCACATGATGCAAAAGTTGCCTTTGTTTAAGATTCTAAAAAAAAAAAAATATTGCTCCTGCACGACTCTTTTTTTAATTATATTAAAAAATGTGGCCAAAAAAAAGTACCTGGATAGCAAAAGCAAGCGCCATTCCAGCATCTGCGGGTGCCACACTTCCGGTGAGTAAAACGATCAGCAACGAAACAAGGAATGTGATTGCAACGACCAGCAAATCCAGCCACACAGCTAACCAACGCATCGCCGATTGATACATGAAGACAGCGCCACTTAAAAATACATGTTTTGTATAGGATCATAAGATACCTCACAACCATAGTTTTTGAAAAAAAGCAGTTTTTTTGGAATCAAAAGTGTAAGGCGGCAGCTTGGAGCTATTGCCGCTTTGACTGTCTCCTTTTGTCCGGTAGTAGCTTGGAGCTGGTGCTGGGTAATTTCGGGGTTTGTGTATTTTTTTGATTTTTATACGTTCTGTGCTGTGTAACAGCAGTACAAAACGCATACTGTTACGGGGTTGTCTGTGTGTGTTTGTTTGTGTGTGTGTGTGTGTGTGTGTG